ATATATAAATGAGTAGTAGAAACACTCTAATAAATAACAATCAGATATTCACATTTATATGAATTCTAATATTAGACTTGCTGTATTTTATTAATATAATGTAGGTATAAATTATAATTATTTTAGAATAATTGTTTATCTAATAATTTAAATGATATTTTCTTCATGTTATATATGGAGCACATACCCTCACAACTTTTTAAGTAACTTTTTTTTTTTTTGTTGAAATTCAAATGCTGATTTGGGTATTTCATAATACTATTGGATTAAGTATATTTAGCATTGTTTTTGCATTTTGTTATTATATATATATTCTTGTATTTATTTTCTAAAATTCTATATATTTATATTACAATTACTAACCAACATTGCACAACTCACCTGACTCATAACTATAAAGGAGGTTATTTTAATAAATAAGCAAATTATACTATCATCTCTTAAAATTTTTGAATTAAAAAAATACACCTCTTAGATTTACTGAAATTACACACAACTTTCTTGATTTTTAATGTTTACAACAACCTCTCTTACAAGGACACAATGTAAAATTTTCAGACATTTTTTTACATATTTTTTTTCAAACAATTAAGAAAATTAGTATAACAATACAAAAAGTAGAAATGACATGTGTAATTTCATGAAACTTTAAGAGAAGTCACATTACTCTTAATAAAATTCATTAAAAAATAATTAAACAAATTAAAAAAAAACTCAAATTCATAAATTATTTCAATAAGCTCAAGATTCAAAACTTTAGTTCGAACTTGAAAGGAGTAGATAAAATTCATCCTTGTACCCAAAAAAAAAAGCATAAAATGCATCTTGTACCAAAAAAAGAGATAAAAAGCACCCTTCAATCAGCTTCCAAAAAAAAAAAAAGAGGCAGGTTGATGTTTCAACCTTTTTCTTCCCATTCTGACAAAAAATCAAATGGGGGCCTTAGACTTTGTTTCTTAGAGCACCTTCATTGTGCTTGGTTGGTTCATCATCTCACTCAACACAAAGCTATTATGACACCTTAATTCAGTGTGCTTGCTCTTGATCCACCATCCAACTCCTCACAAAGCCATCAAAGAGCTTTTAGCCGTTGATGTATATTGAGAAGTTCCATGATATATGTAGTTATGTACCAATATATACTTATATTACCCTGAATTCTTCAAGGCTTTGTTTGGCTTCAAACCATAAACCCTTTTAGTTGCCACTAAAAATCAGTGGCTGCTTCCTTCTGCACATGGATTGTGATCCTTTCATCTCTTGGAGGCTCACATGGGCATGCTGTGGCTATGAATTTTGGGATGTCATCCCCTGGCATCAGCACAGGCAAGCTCTTTGCATAATTCTGCTTCATCATCTGCTCACCATAAAATTCAATCTCCTCAATCTTTTGTGGTGAGAAAAATTAATCTTGACCATGAAAAAAAATTTCTCAATAAAATTAATCTTGATTTAAAGTAATTACTAACTTTCCTTCATCATTAAGGTACAAATTTTTACTGTGTCAATCAATTAGAAACCATATCATGTGTGACTAAAAAATCTTTTACTTTAAAAACTGTATTTGATATGATTTTTTACACTAACAATATATGAAAGTGAAATTTTATGATCATTTATTTTAGTCGAGGTTTAATGGTGAAACATTATCGGTGTAAAAAGTTTTATACAGTCAATATCTGTATATCTATAATAAACTTGTAATTTGTTAACTATGTAAAACTGTTTTACACTGTAATTGTATCGGTAGTAAACTCTTTTGGTTATATGACTAAGATTCGTGTTTATATATGAATATATAGATATAGATTTTTGGGAGTTAGGAAGGGAAGTAATTACCACAACAGGAAAAGCTGGTTTCTGATAGGGGGAAGCCAATTCTGCTTGTATGTGAGTATGTTCCAAAGTTTGAGGGTTGATGATTCCATGAGACCGAAGAAATGATTGAAGCCTATTCCAATGCAAGCAGCAGCAGAAGAAGCCACAAATGAAGAGTAAACAAACAAAGAGAAGGGCTAAGCCAAGAGGGAAACCAATTGACACACGGGTTGCAGCAGTGTCCTGAAGCTCCATTATTTCTTCACTCTTGTGTTATTGTTGTTGTATCTCTTCTCATAGCACCTGAATGATGAATGAAACCATGGAATGTTTAAATAAGGAGTAAGTGAGGCACCTTTGCTTTAGATTAGGTAGTTGATGGTGGGGTGTGCTTGCTAGTGGGTGAACTGTGGAGAGTGACATTTATTATTGAACTTGATATGAGTCTGTTGTTGAGTGAATGAATGATCACATTTTTCAATTTTCATTTTGTACGTAAAGAAAATGGTTATACACTTTAATGAAATGCTTAAGTTATCATGTTTGTATTTTTGATAAACAATACTATCTATCAACTTTATTAATAATTGATATCTATTTGAAAATTTGTCCAACTTTTTTTTTTTCAAACACATTTCTTTTATACATAAAGATTCATATTAAAGATATTATTTAAAAAAATCAAGTTCAATATCACTCAGAACTGTTGGGAAAGAAAGCAGAAACATGTTAATAAAACCAGATCCAACAAGCCGTGTTTGTTAAAAAAAAGGTTGATGATATGTACACCTCCTTTTTTTTATAAGTACACCTCCTTTTAAAAAAAATAATTAAATTTAAAAAAAATTTAATTTTTTTTTTAATTTTACACCTACAAAATTTTATTTAGTACCTTTTTTCACACATTTTTCCTTTTTTTTTTTTAATTTTTATATGTACCCCCTTACCTTTCTTTCATCTCACCTATTTTGTTAATATGTGAAAATTGAAAGAGAACAAAAAGTGTATGCAAAAAAGAAAGTAGCAAATTAAAAGTTGAAAGTGCAAAATTAGAAAAATTTAAAAAAAAATTACAATGTTTTATAATTTTTTAAAAAAAAATAAAGGAGGTGTACTTGTATAAAAATGGAGGTGTATATATCATGAGCCTAAAAAAAATCCAACTAACAACTACATAACTAAAAAACTGAGTAACCCCTCACTGATTGGGCCATGGACTTTGGGCTGGAAGTTTAACTTTAAAATGATCTAATTCATATTTTTCTAAACCAAGATAGATGAGAAAATATAAATAAATAAGCAAATTAAATAATTAAGGAGAAAAATGTGTTGGGAGAACAAAATGTGTAAGACTAAAAAGAAATTTCAACAAACTTTTCCCAATGCATAAATAAATAAATAATGCTAGCAATAATAGTAACAAAGAAATAAATAAAAATTTTAAGTGTAGGAAGTAGGTCAAGTTTTAAATTACAAGCTAAAGTTTTGTTAATTAAATAAATTTATTATATGTTCAGATGTATATATTTTTATTATTAGTGTTATATAAATATAAAATATTTTTTAACATAAAAAATTTATTTAAGTTTATATCAATTTGTCTGTCAATTTTTATTTTTATTTACCTCAGTATTTCTCTATCAATTCTTTCCTTTACCTTTTTCTTGTCAAATCTCTTTTCCACTTTCTTTTTCTCTCAAACTTTAAGATTTTTCAATGTCAAACGATCTTTGGCAAAATCGTGTCTGTTGAATTATTTGGTTGGCATATTCAAACAAGCATTTTGTCGACATCAAACACTTTTTGTTGAAATAATTTATTTTTCTTATTAGACTACTGGTATTTGTAATTTTTTAAAACCACAAGATTACCACTGAACTCGACACCAGAACACAAACTGCATTAGTGAAAAAGCTGAAGTTCTATTGACAGAAAATACCAGAAACAAATTAGCAATTCTCCATTGGTGATGATCCGCAATATTCTTTGACTTCCACCATAAAAAAAAAATGCATGTTATGTATATTTTAATTCTAAAATATTTATGGAACAAAACAAAACAATATGAAAAAGGTCTTACATTTAGTTACTAGTAATCATAGGACAAAAATTTGTCCACTTGTCCCATGCACAATACTATGAAAATAATTAAAAAAGAAAAAAACTTTAATTAGTATATCTATTAATTAGTGATAAAGTTGAATTAGTGTATAAAAGTCAAGAACAATTCTAATCTTATAAACCAATTTTGTAAATTAAGTCAAGTTCACATCCTTAAGATAATATTAAAGTATATTATAATAATTATTGTTTAATTTATTAGATTATCTAGCATTAAACTATTATCGAATCATTCATAAATATTTAATCTTACAAATTTTATGTTTGAGATATCTAATTTTTAACTTGAATAAATTTTTCAAAGATTTTATACGATTAATAATATAAACAAATTAATATATAAAAATAA